AAGAAGATCTTGTTTATTCCGGAAGTTACATCCAGGTAGCAGCAGCATGTCAGGCTGCTCATCTCATGGGTTGCAGAATGCAGGCAGATGAAAAGGAAACCAAGAGAGCATAAGGGGGAAAATACAAAGTGTGTTTGTAGAGAGGTATTTGATCAGGAGAAAAAAAAGCAGGAAAGTGGAAGACGTCATAAATTGGTAAATAAAAGGGAAAAGGAGAAGAGAGTATGGTGATGGATAGTGAAGGAACAGGGAAAGCTGTAGGCAGAAGACCTTGACCCCTGAGCAGAAAGACTTACTTTTTGTTTTCATAAAACCTGAGGCTTAATTTACAGTTTTGCTGAGCTTTTATAGAGATGTGAAAGGGGAGTGAGAGAAATGTAGAAAACCTGGGATAATCACAGAAGGTAAACATATCAGTGCTTGTATGCAGTCTCATATAAATGCTTGTATCAACTGCAAGAGAATTTATTTTGCATCAAATGCAAGAGAGTGTAAGAGAACTAATGTTGAGATAGCCACACTGGGAGAGCAAGAAAATGCGAAAATGATGTGCTGTTTTTAGTAGCATGCTTTCAAGTGGATGCAGGCATGTAAGTTTTGACAAACTGGTAGTGGTGTGGAATTTGGGAACAAGTAAATTCAATGATTTTGACCTCAATAGGGAAAATATTCATAGAAGTTTCTATAAAGTGTGATAGATTTGAATCTTTAACCTGGTAAATGTTTTTTAGAACTGGTTTGTTGGTTTGGGTTTTTTTTTTTGGAAGTTGTTACAGCAAGGAGTATGTTCATTTGTGAACTATGAGGAAAGTTCCAAGTTTTTATAATCTTGACCATTTGAAACACTGTGGCCTGGACTTTTTTAACATTCAGCTGCAATAACTATTTATTTTAATCACATCTAATCTTAGAAACCTGTATATCTACAGAGGGTTGCATATTTGTTTTGTGATACTTAATTCTTCTATAATTATATATAACAAGCTGCGTTCCTGTGCTTAGCAATGGCTTTGGGGCATGGTGGGAAGAACCTGACAGTAAATGGATAATTCCTGACTTCTTGTGTGCAAACTTCTCAAGCTGCTTTGTCTCTTTTAATGCAAAAGCAGCCCTTAGAATTGAAGTCTAATCCCAAAGCTGTGTTGATGCAAATGATTTGCATGCCAAAAAGAACCACTTGTGTGACGAAGGATTAAAAAGTTGGCTTCAAGATATGTTTTGTTTTACAACAGCTGCCTACGTATGTAAATTTGGTCTTATTAAAAAGAATGAGAAAATCTGTGTATGCCATTGGAAATCATAAATATTTTTGTGTTTTTCTTTCTTTTTTTCCAGATTTGAACATGGAATTCAACCCATCAGATCATCCACGAGCCAGTACGATATTTCTCAGTAAATCACAAACAGATGGTAGGTTACTGAATTTATTACAGTATTTGCTATTGCATTTATCTCTAACCCCTTTGTTAAAATGCATGGGATTGTCTTTTAATATATAATTCTCTTCCCAAACAAAGAGGCTTTTATGCATCATGTTAAGAGTTTAAAGAATCTCTAATTATTTATTTTGTCAGACCAGTAGTAGAAAGTGCAGGTTTGAGTTCTGTCATGCGCTGAAATTGTAAGTTCCAAGTAGGTATGGTATCAGAACTACAGATATGGATAAAGCCTAATATAACTATATTTTAAAAATGTTTTCCTTGAATCTGAAACCAAAATTTCCTGTGTAACTCTTTTGTTTTTGAAAACTCCAAACACTAGGACAAGCTTATGGGAAATGTGTGGAAAGTATTTTCTTCAGAAAATGCCAGTTTACATTGACTAAGAAGACAGTCCAGAGTTTCCTCCGAGGTAGCTGATACTGTAAATATCATGAACTCAGTACTAGATTTTAATAACAGAACAACATTCCACCCAAACTTTCTGTCTTCTTCTTTCATTATGGATTCGATATAATCATATATTTGCCTGGAGATATTTTTTCACTTGTAGACAAAATGATCTCTCTGGAGTTATATCTCCTAAGCAAGCCTCTTGATAGTAGAATAGAAGCCATTTATTCTGGTTTATTGATTCCCTGTTGAACATGTATGACATGTTGTTTTAGAAGTAGATGAATAATCAATGCAAAACACATTATTTTCTACCAAGACTTTCAAAGCAATTCCTACATTGTAATTCTGATTGTTCAGTGTGAATTCTTTGTCCTTCTTTTGCTGCCTATAAATGCCATTTTGATTTACATAGTAAATTCCAGTGTCAAATATATGACTTATAAATACTGTAGTTTTCACTTACTGTATATTTCTTGCTAATTTTTGCACAAGACTAGAACAAAGAGGATATACATTTATGTCCTAGTTGAAGAGTTAATTCTGTGAGTACCTCTGTTGCCCTTCAGTTGTACTTCTGAATTCAGCCCTGGTTCTGTCAATGCCTTATAAAGTGGGTTTTTCGTATTATATACCATTTTAACATGGTTTGGTAGTCTGTAAATTAATGATAATTTTTCTGTAGTACACTGTATTATGAACTTTGATGTCTATATAGTGTTTTGAGACTGTATAATCCCATATGGATGCTGTTTCTTGTTACAGCTTGTTGAAAAGAAGGACAAAAAGAAATCCCAAGTCCAATAATTAAAATTTTGACCACACCTGATGGTTATTCTCACTTGTAGTAATAATAATGGTTAATTTATTTCAGTATGGGGTTCACCATAAGCGTTTTTTAAAATGACGGTTTACAGCCGTGCAAAAGCTGGTCTGTGAAGCTTTGTTCTAGCTTAAGAACAAAGAACAACTCATTTTTGAGCAAGAGAGTGAATTTAGGGAAACAGTATGGAAATGTTATCAACGGGAGTGTAAGATCTGTTCAGCTATCCTTGATAACAGTGGAAAAAATCCAAAGACTATTTTGCCTGTACGAAAGAAAAAAGATTCTGTAAACGTTTCTCTACTGATGTATTGCCAGTAAAACATCCCATTCTGCTGGGACAACTCACAGTAGCAGATATTTTACTTAGCTGTACTTTGGGCCCCTTATGGAGCCAAGTGAGCTGTTGGAGTTACCACATTATTCATGGAGGTTGCCTGACACCAAAATGTAATAACGTGCTTGTTAAGGGGAAAATATAAGGGTTGTTTAGGATGTGTAGGGTTGTACGCTGACAGCCAGATGGAGTCTAAGGGACCCCTACAACTTCTTAAGACAATATAGAAGAGAAGAGCTGAGCTGGCAATATTGAGAACACCTTGTAGGCATGTAACTACCACTCTCCATCTTGTATAGTGATGGCCTGGCAAACCTTCCTGTTGACTGTGAGTGAAAATATTTCTATAGATAAGACCAGCAAACAATTGAAATACACAATGGATAGTTGAGGGGCATCAGGTCTCAAGGTTTTATCCAGGATCTGGCTGTGACTCTTGAGTGTCTATCTCATGTTTTTAAACTGGGAAACGGCCAAGTCTGTTGCTACATGCTGGGGCGACTTGGCAACATTACCTTCAGGCAATTGTGTGTATGGCTTTCTAGTAGCCCTGTACTCTCACAGCCTCACTGGTAATCACTGGACACAGTAGTGTCCTGGAATAGGAGCTGTGCTTGAGCTGCTTGTAATCAACATGTGGGTGAAGAGCAAGCAGACTACCCCAGATACAATGAGATGGGATAGGCTTCTCTGGATATTGAATGGTCTGAATTTCCCATTGTGCTTTGAAGCTCGGATGCAAGTCTAAGCATCTTAATTTGTCCTGTTTTTCTTACTAGTCTGCACCCTTAATTACCTGAGAGTTCAATGACTCTGTAGAAAAGTTGAAGACACAATAAATACTAATTTGACTCCTAACTAAAGTAACTTTTCTAAATGCTTCCAACTCTGTGGGAATTTTCTAGGTGCTGAATCATCATGAGTAATTCTCCAGGTTCAGGGAGCTAGTAAAGAATTTCCCCTTTTTTTTTGTCTTTTGTCACTCACTTTTGTGAGTGCTTTATGCAAGTTTTCCCTTGTTTGCTGACTTTGGCCTGTAAGTGGGGATGGTCTAGGGTACTGAAAAGCTGTGCACTATTTATTTAATGTGTGCTTGTGGTTAACCTGGGGTTTACAAAACTTAGCACTCTAATAATGTAACATCCTGTCCTTTTAATAGCAAGAAGGCAATGGTTGCTACTTCAGGGTGCTGATAATGGTCTTTCTTGAAAGTGGGTTACAGCCGTCCACCTCTCCTAACTTACATTAGGCTTTACACACACAGTTTACTGGCTGAATTTTTCAGTATTGGTGTAACAATGGGTTTCAGGCAAGGAGGATCTTGAAACTGTATTTATATAGTGGATAGAAGTGAATTAACCTGCACTTACTCTTTCATGTTGACTGGGAACAGTCTTCTGTCTTGAATAAAACGAAAAGAAATGTTTTGAAACTCCCAAAATGTGAGACATTTCGATTGATGTAATCCTCAAGGGTTTTGGTCTTTGATTCTGGTACGGGTAGCATTAAGGTGGTATATAGAAATTGCACAGAGTTCCTATTACAGCTCAATGAAGAACACGTATATACATAAATACACGCCCACACATACGTATGTGTGTGTATTTTCGCACTCATTTTTATTTCAAGATAATACATCTTCCTACTACTGCAGAAGTTCACTAGTAACAGTTGAAAGTGCCTGCAGAATAGGAACAGGTCGTTGACCTTTAAATGAGGAAAACTAAGACAATTTGGCAGCATCTCGGTCTCTACTTGAAGCATTCCAAAACTTTCAAGTTTTAAAATGTTAGTAAGAAAGTAGAAGTTTAATTGTTTAAACTGACTCTAAATCTGTCTAGCTTCATTTTCTCAAAACCCTGTGCTTGAAAGCCAAAAGTTTGAAGTTGCAGTTAGGAAATTATATTACAAAATGATGGTTAGTTATAACACTACAGTCCTGTCTGCTGAAGTCCACACTGTGCTGTGTGAGCTGTGCAGAGTATTTTTAGACTGAAGCCAATGGAATTACCCCTTTACATTCATTTTAGCTTGGCAAAACTGGCCTTTTGCCTTGTGCAATAATTGTCTTTCCCTTGTTTAAAGACAATTATTTCCCTTGTTTAAAGGGCGGGTTGAGTCACAAGGGAGAGTGGCTGTGACAAAATTGGTTTTTTTGCTATGCCCAATTTCCGATTGGCCTATGTTGTGGAAAGAGTTGAGCCTTACACTATGGCAGAGTGGGCCAGAAGTGCAAAAGCACAGCTGCCGCCTTGTACTGCCCTACCTGAGAATCCAGGCTGAATTTCTGTTGTATGGGGAAAATAAGGGAAAGGAGGTCAACATGTTGCTTGGAATAATGTGCAGCAGAAGCAGTGCTTGAGCAGGGAGAAGTGAGGGGTGTGTATAAATACATTACTATAGGCTTCTGGAGATTGGAAATAGCAGATGGGAATGAGCTATGAGTGATGTTCTTTTGTAAATACATGATTTCATGGGGAATTGAGTAATGGATACAAGGGAAAATACAGTCAAGAAAAAGTAAGGTGGGGAAAAAAAGTGATTAAAATGGAATTTGGAGTGTATGTGTAGCCTGTCTTTATAGGATTTTGTCCATTAGAACTTTGCATGTGGTATAATTGTGATTAAAACACTGTTAAATACTTAACTGTGTTCAAAATTTCATGGTTAATAGGTATTAATTTTCAGTTATGTACTCTTACGAGGTTTACACGCAGCTTATCAGAATTGTTTACTACCTGTATATTGCAACATGCAATACCAGACAAATACTTTGGCTATTCTTAGAAATTAATATCTACCATCATTTTGGTGTTTCCTTTTCAATTACTTCAGTCCTTTTCTGGTAATAAATGCTGTAAGGGGAACTAAAGTGTAGTGTAATGTTTTAGCAGGACTTAAGGTAGTTTAACTTTTACTAGGCAATCAGAATTTTCCTGCTGTTCCTGTTTAATTCTGTTTCTTATATAATGTCCGTAATTGTGGATCTGAGCATGTACTAAGTGACATGGCTAACATCTGTCATGTGTGATTCTCCTTTCTGCTCCCTGGGAGGAAAATTATGTAAGGATTTTTAAAAGTTTTTTCATATTTTCTTTTCATTTTATGTCTGCATTAAACACAGTTATTTTGCAGTATTCACACATACAGCCTTGTTTATGTGAGATCGCTTGCTTATAGTAAATCATGAATAACTGCTTCTCATCCAACAGGGAATGGACAGGCTATCCCACCATTATGAGCACTCTTATTTTGCTAAGTGTATTAGGTTGCACAGCTTTCAAATCATGGTATGCCAAAGTGCATTTAATCACCTACAGCATGAAACCATTTAAATCCTGAAGTTTGATTTGTGTTAGTTGCCTTCAGACTTGTATCTTAAATGCTGTGGTATTTTCACTGGAACAGAGCTCCACAGGCTCTCCATGGGGTGAGTTAATGGGAAAGTGCTTTAAAAAAATTAAACAGAGTATATTTAATCAGCTGTAATAAGCATTTGCCTGACAATTAAGAGTTTATATGTCTATCTCCCTTTTGTTGCTGTTTACTTTCTGAATATTTTGGCTAATTGTGGCTTTGACTTGCAACCTTTGCTTGTGGTGACTGGTTCATACTCGCCAAAGTAATATATTTTCATGCTTATATGTAACATCAGTAATAGTTTCAGGCTTGCACTTGATAATTATGGAAGGCAGTGGTGTAATGCGAATGGTTTCAAGGCTCCTCTATGGGAGTTAGTGCACAGTAAGCTATGATGAGAATTCGCTAACTCCGTGGTGTAGCTGTTTAGCTGCTTTCATGCCTGTAGTGTAGGCCACTTTGCAGCAAGGTACCTTGCACGAAGACACTGGTGGCTCAGAAGTACATACACAGAGAGCTGGTGAAGGATGCCTAATCCATTGCTAACTTGGGACTGTATCTTACCGCATATTAACTTTCCCATGCGGACCAACGCTTGCTGAAGTACCCAAATGGATGAGAATTTTAATCCGTCACCACACTAGTGAGCGTAAATGTCTTTATGCGTGCAGATACATGTTCTTTCTGTGTTTGATATGTAAATATATTTGGTTAGTGTAAAAGCAGTTATAATGTTGCACATAGATAGCCTCCTGTTCTTTTTATTATAAATGGTATATAAGAAACTTAATCAGGAAAAATAGTCATGTAATATTTCTATCATATTTTGTGTTTTTGCAGTGAGAGAAAAACGCAAGAGTCTCTATATAAACCACGTAAGTGAAAATGCCTCGCTATGCAGCTTTCTCCTTGTTGTCTATATTATACAGTAAATAAGTTATCACACGTGATTTCTATACTGGTGAGAGGGTGCTGATGCTTCAAATGTCCCTTCTGCATCAGAATCCAGAAGTATAGGTCTTGGCTATTGAGTTAGTGGAATGGTGGATGTCTTGAAGACAATATCATGCTCACAACCAGTGTACATAGGTAACTGGTACCTGGGACAAAGAGCTGCATACATCAGTGTCAGTTGTAAAATTATTACAGAGCTCTCAAAACTTTAAAATGCATTTGTATGCAAGTTTGGTTTGACAGAGAGCCGCAGCATTTCGTATTTACGCAGAAGTTCTGAAGTGCCTGACCAATGTTGATGCCAAGGTAAATGTGGACTGACATGTGCTACTTGCTGAGTATGAAGATGGGGGTTTATTATGCTTGTGTAACCCAGGCATTTTTCAGTTCAGTTCTCTTCTGCTTGAATCAAATTCATGGTGAAGCTGAGAGCAAATCCTCTGTAGCCTGCTTTGGACCAAGCTCTTTGCCCCAGTTAGTATTGTTTGTACTAACAAACAATAGTTTGTTAGTACAAAGAAGCACCTGGAACCAGTGCATTTATCAGTGTGTTAAACCTTGTGCTGAAGTATCTGGAGTTACACCTCAGTAAGATTGAGGAGGGAAAGAACTAATTGTCTCCAAGTGGTATTTGCATTTAGGGTGAAATGGAGAGTTCTCAAAACTCTTCTCTATCTGTGAATATAGGTCGTGATTTCATGAATCATTTTAAAACCACTACAGTTGCTGAAAGAAACGGCTGTGATTTATAGGGTCTGTCTCCCTTTGTGCTGGGCAAATGTTTGTGCAGATCCAGGTAAACTGGATTGGGGCACAAATGCAGGCATGGCTAAAAGCTAAAATGGATCTGCTCCTGTATGTGATTGCACCCTCAGAAAGGGAGGGAGGGGTGAGAAGGCAGGACTGCTTCGTTTGTTGGCAGAACTAGTTTGTTCTGAGTGTTTCTGCAGTTAACTGCCTGGCTTCAAAAGCAAGCTGAGATTTTCAGTTTCCCAAGATTTTGAGAAGTCATGAGATACTGAAAGGCTTATAAAAGCCTTAAAGCTTGCCCCACAAGTTTAGCAGTACTTCTCACCTCCTGTTCCCCTGTGAAACGCTTCCATTGTTTACGGTACCTGTGAGGGTGGCTTGCAGTGCAGTTGTATTGCTATAAAATTACTTGTAAAGCTATTGCACTGGGTTCCTGTAAATTTAATAATGTGTGCTCAGGAACTTCCAGCATGCTTTGTAGCCTCAGACTTGAAAGGTTCCATGCAAAAAAAATAAATATTTAGACATTGCAGAGCAAGGTAATAACTGAATTTCTGTCACAATCTGCCTTGTGTCATGGATGAAATTCTCACAGGTCCTGAATTGTTTCATGTCATATGAAAGATGTGTTCTGCATTAGGCAGGTTGCAAGTGGATTCCTCTGGTGGATTGAACAAAGATAACTATTAACACATGCTGCTGGAAGCACACTATTGCAGTCCTTGGTATAAAAGATTTTTAGGCAATGGTGGCTTGTGCAGAAAAGGAAAGGATGATCAGATCATATCACTGAAATGTTGCACTGTTGGGAGCTCAATGTAGCAGCTTGTCCAGCTGATACCAGTGTAAACTTCCCTCATTAGTCTGGTTTACTGCTATCTTAAGTCTGACTTCTTTCTACTTACAAAGCACTTCTAAATTACAAGGCTAAAAATAGCCTTTACGAAGCCAAAGTCCTTACCGTGGCTTTTTCTCTGTGTCCCTACAAGTCAGTTAAATTCTTTAGCCAATGCTCATAGATAAGGTATATTTTCAAATGTGGCCTGTGATATTTAAGTTACTTCAGCAACCTGTGAGTATTCATTCAGCACCTCCGAAAAATTTAGTCTGCTAAAGCTGTTGCACAGACTGGTGATCATTTTTGAACTGGTTGCTGTGGCCTTTAGCTGGCAACTGTGTTTAGGTTTGTAGACTGCAGGGAACTATTTTAATTTTCCTAGAGAGCCTTGTTTGAGGACATAGTTAAGTTTAGCAATTGTGTGTGGCAAACGATGGGGAGTATTTGCATGATAAGTGAATTTATTATATACCCTATTAGTTGATCAGTTCTTTTCCATCATTTTTCAGCATGTGCTGAGTGCATTTGTAACAGGAGCTATTCCTACTCATTTATTTCCCTGTTGATGTGACTGCTTGGTCCCCATATCTGCTCTAGAGGAAGCAGGCCAAGAGGACCTAAATTTTGGAGCATTGTTTTGTCTTCTTTTTGCAAGAACTCCTCACAATAATGCAGTGCTCTTCTCTTTTATGGTTTTTCCACAATGTCATCTCTTTTCTAAGTCCTATATACTTATTTTGCTTTTGTGATAAATAACCATGATAAACAACAAAACATTTTTATCCTTTTGCTCAGTATCTGATTGGTTATTTTGCAGTCATTTCCTGGGTGATCAGGGAGGCTGGCTAGTAAGAGAAGTGTCAAGAAGTGCTTTTTCTTATTAGTGACTTGCTGAATTCTGTGTAGCAACAGATGGGAATAGTAATTTATACAAGTTTTGAAAAGTTACCTGTGAAAACAGTATCAGCTCTTCCTCATTTACAAGTCCACTTTCTCCGTATGATCACACCATTGTTCTTTTCCTTTCTTGCTTGCTTTTGTTTGTAGAGTGTTTTAATTGGGTGACTATTTGCTTTGATCCCCAAATACAAATGACAGGTTCCTGCTTTTATTTATTGTGTTGTCAAGGGCTGGCAGTTGTCCTGTTTCAGATTCACCTTGTCCGTAGGTGTGATGGAAGAAGCCAGCAGCTGTCTGGTTTTGGGTATGAAGAAGGCAAGGGGAAAGGGAAGTCAGGAGTGAGAGGGTGCTGTGGAGAAGTCTTTCCACAGAGCCCAGGGAGAAAGATGACAGGTTGGGGATGGTGCTGGATCCTTTGTATCCTTGTAGGTGCCGGCAGTTATCTATCTACCTACCTACTATGTACTTGGTGGTTTTGCTTTCTTTCAGCGTGGAGACCTCATAGCAGCCTTCCAGTATCTGAAGGGGGCCTACAGGGATGCTGGGGAGGGACTCTTCATTAGGTATTGTAGTGATAGGACAAGGGGTCATGGGTTAAAGCTTAAACAGGGGAAGTTTAGATTGGATATAAGGAGGAAATTCTTTCCTGTTAGGGTGGTGAGGCACCGGAATGGGTTGCCAGGGAGGTTGTGAATGCTCCATCCCTGGTGTTCAAGGTCAGGCTGGATGAAGCCTTGGGTGATATGGTTTAGTGGGAGGTGCCCCTGCCTATGGCAGGGGGGTTGGAACTTGATGATCTTAAGGTCCTTTCCAACACTAACTATTCTATGATTCTATTTTAATTTCTAAACATTTGCAGCAGACTCTGCTTCCCCTTCCAACTGAACTGACAGTTGCTGTTTTTTTGTTTCGGTTTTAGTGTTGCTTCAGTGTGCGCTTGCCTTTTCTTTTAATCTGCTTAGTCAAGCTGCTCATGGGGATAAAGATGCAGACTGAGATAGAGGCGTTTCCTTTTTCAGAGAGGAGAGATTGCATCAGTATCTCTGCCTGTACAAGGAAAGCAAACAGGAAGACATGTTTTATGTTTTTTGAGGGTGTGGGTGGAGAAAAGAGTGAATGTTTTATTATTGTTTGCAGTAGCTACTTCTTTATACCTTGTGATTATTTTTTTGCAGGGGAAAGGAGCAGAGTAGGGGTGGAAAAGTTGTTTTCTCTATCATTTTTTTCTAGAAATTTTCCCTTTCAGAAAGTGCTTTCCTCCCTTCTTGACAAGATGTGCTCTTAATGTTGAATCTCTGTTCATGAGCTGTAAAAATAAGGGATATTTTTTGCACATTGGAATATTTCTGGGGGAAGATAGGGTGGGAAGGATAAAAGAGAAGAAAGATAAAAGGAAGTAATATCTCTCTTCTGCATATTTTTACTTTTTTTTTAATTCTGGAGACACTTCATTAACCTTGTAGCCACAAAGCTTGCTTCCTTTCAGCATCATCTTTAGGGATCTGGACATGACTTCCACTGTCTGCTACTTGACAACTGGATGTTCAGATCCCAGCAGACTGATACTGTTTTTTATCATTCCAAGTGCAAAACCTAACATGTGTATAGACCAAAACTTTTTAGGCATTCTGGGGAAAAGTTCCTGGGCATGTAAGTGACACTGTGGTGATTCACATCAGAGGAAGTTTCTTCCCAGCAGCAGCCCAACTGATGGAGACTAGTGGAGAGCAGAGGGGTAGTTTGCTGTACATGGTTTGGCAGAAGCAATTTCTGTGAGCCTTTTTGCATGCTTGAAATGAGGTATGGTATTTACTTCTGTATAGCTCCCAAATTTTCATGTCAGATTGCCTAAAGAGGGTGTCCTGCTTCCCTATTGTAAAACTACTAGACACGTGACTGGTAATCAAACACTTTCAACTAGTGATTATAAGAGTAAATAAGATACATTCTGAAATGGGAGCATAGTTGGAAAATCAGTTTACTCTGTGAAACATGCGAAGCATAACATAAAATGTGAGATGTTGTTTTAAAGTGGACTGCCTAAGGCTGGCTGTTGTAAAGGCTTAAAATTGCTGTCCAATTTCCTTAAGATATTTTAATTAACATTCCTTCCTCAAAGAGAAGAACAAGAGAAACTGGAAGATAGATTACAGACTTCTCAGGTGCTCTTGAAGCTCTCCTAGAGATTGCTTAATGTGGGCTTTGCTCCCCTCCATAGCAAAATCACAAAAAAAACAGGTCTAGAGAGGGTCTTTATATGCCATCTGGCCCTATACTTATGCCATTCCTAACAGATGCTGTTCAAGCTTCTTCATGCTTCCAATAAGTTAGAATGAGCAGGTTTTCTTTAATGGCTTACCTAAACTTACAGTTTGAAATTACTTTTTTTTCTGGTATGTCAGCCCCTTGCTTCTTTTCCTGGCCTCTAGGGCG